ACCAGGGATATTCTCGAGAGAGCCAATTTGAAATTGGAAAGTGAAAATTTTGAATTAAGATTAGAAATAGAAAAAGCTAACGCGGATACGCCGCGTTTGCGGGAAAAAGTTGAACATTTAGAAAGGTGTGCATCTTGTAATTATTATTTTTTTCTTCTCCCTTTTTTTTTTCTTTTATGCTTATGACAATGTCATTTCATTTCTTTTCTTTTGTCTTTTACTTGGGGTTTTTTTTCTTCTTTTTCTTTTTTTTTTTTTCTACCAGATACATCGAATTGTTGAAAGTAGAGAAATCGTCGGATTCGACACCTAGATCGTCGAACAAGGAACATCAGGAATTAAATTCCAAAAAGTCTGTTTTAGAATTAGAGAAAACGATCTTTACGTTAAAGAGAATCATTGAAAAGTTACAAGCGGAGAACAAAAGGCTGAAGTTTAATTCGAGAAGGAATTATTTCGTATCTGGTCAAGTATGTATAAGGGAGGGAAAAAAATAAACAAACAAACAAACAAAAAAAAAAAGAAGAAGGAAAGAAAGAAGAAATATTTGGAAATTGATTGAAAAACCATTGTTAACAGGTAAAGAAAGTTAACACAGGGAGCGAAAAATCTTACGAGAAATTGTACGAGGAAGCTCAAAAGAGAATGATAGACTTGGAAACGGATTTGCAACTTGCCGAACAGAGAATAACGATGTTGGAAGAAACACAAAAGGAGGATGACAACGGCGAGATTAATATCTTGAAACAACAATTGACACATAAATCAGAACTATTGGAAAAAGTGAAGCAATTGTTGACGAGGGCGGCCATAAATGAAAAGACACTTCGTCAACGTGTAAGTGAAATTTCGAGAAGGAAAGAACAAAGTTGGGATAAATGAAAATTTCTTTTCTATTAAAGAAAAAAAAAGACAGAGAAAGAGAGAGAGAGAGAGAGAGAGAGAGAGAGAGAGAGAGAGAAAATGAATACTTCCATTAATTTAGTTTCGTTTCATTTCAGCTTCAGCAACTGGAATCTAAACAGACATTGTCACCGATACCAGAATGTTACGTGACTGTACCTAATTTAGATTGATAATAATACAATATTTAAATATTTCACAGGGATGATATTGATCTTGATCAATAATTTATTTTACATACAACAAGTTTTACAACGTATATATTTATGTTTGTGTATGTGTGTATGTGTGTGTATATATATATATATATATATATATATATATATAAATAATACTGTGTATGTGTATATATATATATATGTAATCACGACGATAATTTATATATTTGTACACGAAGGCGCTTTAGCGAATGTAAATACGTCTTTACGAACTTAGCTTTTGAGCATTAAAGCGAGCTAAGGGTTAAAATTAAGTACTTTCATTAATGGGGTTGATTATCATGGAACACACGTGACTAGATTGTAAAACGCTCGCGGAATATGTTTCCGTGGCATTAATAAAATTAACTAATGAAGAAATACATATTTTTTTTTCTCTTTTTTGTTGTTGTTGTTGTAATTCGTTGTAAAGAGATATATCGTGCGATATTAATAATCTCATTTACGTTTAAACAATTCTGAAAGGCAATTAATTTGCGAGATTGAACTGTCGTTGAAATGAATTGTTACATCTTCTGGACGGATATTTTATATATATAATATATAAAGATTTTAAATAAATTTTTAATCGTCCTCGTCAGCCTTTTTAAGGAATGGCGCGATAGAATCCGCATCCACGCAGTCAGGAGTGAGTTTCCCTTTGAATTTGATGCACGCGTTCGCACACCTTTCACCGGCAAACCACGGTCCGAACATTCGCTTGCACTGAGCGCAGTTTCTTATGCAGACACCTGTGTAGATAACGTCACAATAGAGGAGTCAAATATTTTACGGCGAGTATATTGTTTTCATATATCTAGATTTCTTCTTTCTCTTTTTTTTTCCTTCTTCTTTATATATATATATATATCTTCATACGATTATATAAATCTAGCTTCATAAAAAAGTGTTCCATATATTTCGTCAGGAAGATAAAATACCAATTCGTTATTCTCATGTTTTAGGCTTGATCGTTGATGTAAAATAACGAAAAAAAAAGAAAAAAAAAAAAACAAGAGGACAAAAATCTAACAGAATCTTTATAAGATATTTTTTTCTTTCCTAGGTTTTTTTTCTTTTTTTTTTCCTTTTTTTTTTCCTTTTTTTTTAAGAAAGATATAAACAGAAATACTATTTTAAGAATATACTCACCGAACCAGTCTTTCGATTGACCCAATACCATGCCAAGTATTGTGACAGTGAGAGCGAGGAGCAGAACGATGCGCAGAGAAGAATTCATAGCTGCAAATAGACGCGTAAATAATTTTATCGATCGTCGAATTCGTTAGAGATCAAAAAGAAAAAAAAAAAAAAAATAAAGAGAAAAGAAAAGAGAAAGAAAGAAGAAATTAATTCGAGAGAGTTACATTGAGTTTTCTTTCTAACAAATAATAAATGAAATATAAATTATTAGATAAAATTCAGCGTTACAGATTATTTCAATGGCATCGAAAAATTATTTTTCATTTATTTATTTATTCATTTGTTTATTTTCATATCATCAAAGATTGGATTTCCTTCTTTTTCTCTTTCTCTCTCTCTCTCTCTCTCTCTCTCTCTCTCTCTCTCTTTTATTTATTTTTTTTCTAAGCATATCCCAACAGTTAGCCTTTATGAAGTTACCAACCATGTTCGAATCGATCAATGGTACTCAGTTGCTTACAACAACTTTAGAGATTTCAATGCGCGCGAAGACGGGACCGACGTTATAATAATTCATCACCTACGCGCGTATGTTGCGGGTTTTATTCATCGTCATATATCAAAGATTCTAATCGTTATTTAACAGAGACAGGATGTAAATACCTAATACCAGTTAGCCTTTAGAGATGCCAGCTCGATTCTTTTCAAATAGTTAGTCCCTCTTACGATTCAGGTCGAGAGAATGAAAGAAAGTGAAAGAGAAAGAAAGAAGAAAAGAAAAAAAGAAAGAAAGAAAGAAACAAAAAAACGAACGAACGAATAAAGAATAAGAGAGAGAGAGAGAGAGAGAGAGACAGAGAGAGGGATGATGTTTAATAGTATCGTTGATGTAATTATGAGATTTGCCTTAATATAGACACAATTGTAAATCGTAGAATGCAATAGTAGTTAAAAAAACTGTCGGGTTTTTTTCTCTTCTTTTTTATTTTTTTTAATTCCCTTCCTCCACCCCCTCTCCCTCTCTTCCTCCCTCCCCTAGAAACTTCCAATTACCGTTGAATATAAATTGAACCTGTATTGTCCTGACTATCTGAAGAACTGAAGGCTCTTCTGTCTGACTATTTTAATTTGCTTGAACAATGCGCGCGTGTGCACTAATACATATATAACACTAACACTTATCAGTGTGTATTTATTACACTCACATTGGTTACTCACTTTGTGTGTGTATATATATATATATATATGTATTTATGTATATATGCATGTTTATGAATATGTATATGTGTATATATAGATGACATTTATAACCGGAATCTGTCTCTTCCGCGTTTTCCTTATTGGACAAACTGTGAACGTACCGAAGTTATAAATATGGGCACTTCTGTTTCTCTCTTTTTATTATTTTTCTTTTTCTTTTTTTTTTTTTTCTTTTTTGCAACAGCACTCGAAGAGAAGTCCGTTTTTTTCTTTTTTTTTACTTTTTTTCTTTTCCTTTTTTTCTTTTTTTTTTTTTTTTTTTTTTTTTTTTTCGAAATGATCGGTAAGGACGCGCAAGAGTTAAGAAGACAAAGAGAGACAAATCGGAAAGTCGTACTTGCCTGATTCGTTCCTTTTATAAGGACGGGACGACGAAGCCGCTATAATTGTTAAAACCAGACGAATGACACCGAGGAGAGTTCGTCGAGAGACTTTATATATCCGTAGAGTCACTAAATTCACCCCTCGTATACGGGGGAAACCATGCTGCTTTACCTTACTTCGTTCATACGTCGTTCATCGACTCCTTCTTATACTCTCTCTCTCTCTCTCTCTCTATCTCTCTTTCTCTCTTCCTCTTCCTCTATCTCTCTCTCATTCTCTCACTCACTCACTCTCATTCTCTCTCTCTCTCTCTCTCTCTATCTTCTCTATTTCTCTATCTCTTTATCTTTCTTTCTATTTCATTTCTTTCATTTCCTGCACTCTCGACTCATCCTGAGTCATCCTGATGTAATTCCCCAACATACCCTTGTTTATTTAATTATTAAGATATTCTAAAAGTATCTTTCGTTTGTCATTTATTTTTTTTTTTTTTATTTTTTTTTTCTTTCTTTTTTTTTTTTTTTGTTAAGTCAAAATACCATCGTCGATTTTAGTTGCGTCTGATTAAGGTTCGTGATTGAAATAAAATTACATTTTAAATCTCTAACTATGTCATAGAGTTGATATAATATTGGTTTTATTTAAAATTTATTTATACGTATACAAACATACACGTATATATATATATATATATATATGTATAACAAACTTTGTGTGCGAAAAGATAACGAGTGAAATAGTTAAACGTATTCGTGAGAAATTTATCATTATCAATCATCGCCTCGTTAATAATTATTAATCATAGTGATAAAAGAGAAGAAATTTATATACGAGCCATTGATTTTAAAAATTGGACAGATAGATTTTGTTTGAATGAAGAAGAAATTAATTCTAATTCTTATTACAAATTAATATAAAATTTATGTTTTTATTTGTAAAAAAAAAAAAAAAAAAAAAGAAAAGAGAAAAAGTAAAAAAGGAATACAAAAAATAATGGACTCGCCTCACTTTCAAAACCAACGGCTCATATATATAAAAAAATATAATAATATAATATAGTAAGAGTGTAATATTATATATCTATATATATATATATGTATTAGTAAATTTTGTTTGTAGATAATTTAATAGGAGTATAAATTGATCGGCGCGTATATCTTTTCACAAATCTTTCTAATTCATATTTTCTTCGTCTCTTTTTATATCCTTCATACCAGGCAACTTGTACTCCAGAGACCAATAATTCTTATAAAAGGAGGGAGCTTTTTTTACACCGTCCTCGATATCCTTATTCACTTCCTCGTCGAATCTTGAAATTCGATCCTTTTTCTCAAGAATGGATGACAAAGTTTTTAAGTTCCTCTTCTTATTTTCTTCCATATCTTTCCTTTTGTTTTCCATGCGAATTTCCTCGTCCGAATTCGCTTTTAATTTGTCGACAACGTCCTTGGTAAAATAACGATCGAGAAAATCTTTTTCTTCGCTTAACATGTCGTCGTTTATTCCAATATATTTCTTTGTATCCTCGGAAGGATCCTCGTTGTTGTTGTTGTTGTTGTTTGCATTTTTCGACATAAAGGAATAATTATTTTTATTATCATCCGACGATGGTTCCTTACTGTTTCGTTTATTGTTATTGTTATTTTTGAGTTCATGAAAAAATGGTTCGTTTTTTAAAAAGTCATCCAAATCGAATGGCTTTCTATATTCGTTTATATCAAAATCAATATTGGATAGGGCGAAGTCATCACTCGACTTATTTTTAACTTTGGACTCCGAACTCTGAACATTATTCTCATTCATTTTCGTTTTTTCACGATTAATCATATCGTTCTTCGAAGGATCAGAAATTTCGAATGATTTAACGTTCTTCGTAGCCATTGATCGTAGCGATTGATTACCATGTTTGTCAATCGTTTCATTTTTTTTCCCCACTGAATACGCCTGATCGGACGTAGTATTTATTATTATCATCGCTCGGTCAATAGAGTCAATCGATAAATTCTTAGAATTTGAATTTTGTGATTTAGCACGTAGACGATCCTCCTCGTCTAAACTTTCTTCCCTTTCATCCGTATAATCGGGTACCTCGACATAAGGGATATTGTATAGATTGTAATCGATTGTAGATTTGTTATTTTCCACAAATTTTTCTATTGGCACGGAAGGAGAATAATTAACGATTTCCTTTTTGCTCTTATTTTTAGGTTCTTTCGAGATATCAAATGATATTATATTTTCGTTTGAAGAATATCCATTTCGATTAGAATCAACATACGATGATGATTCATCGTCAATATTAGAGATAACTTTGTGATCGTTATGAAGCATTTCATTCTTCGATTCGAACGATGGATCAAATGTTGAACGATTGCCGACGTGTTTCGTATCAATTACTTTAACATACTTATCAAACTCATCCTCCTCTTCCTCTGAAGGTCTTTTCTCGTCGAAAGGTACATCGGTAAATGACTTCTTTTTCTCGTTCAAAGACCCAGTCTCGTTATAAGGAAGATTTAAATCCTCGATTTCCGAACTGGACAATGCTACTTGTTCATCCTTGAAAATATCTTTCTGCGTTTCTCTCAATGTTCTCGTAGACGGTACCACGATTTTAAAACTTGGACGTGAACTGTTAATTATCTCCCATATGCGTTTATAAAAATCATTATTAACGTTTATACTCGTATCGATATTCTTTGATTTTTCATCCTCCTGAGTGAATTTAGGATGTCGATAGAGTTTCAAATTGTTATGAATATTTTCCATTTTTACGTACGACGAATTATTATTATTATTATTATTATTATTATTATTATTATTATTATTATTAGTATTATTATTCAGACCTAATGTGGAACGTTTGAATCGTTTACCCGTAATACTTTTACCATTTATTTCTCTCGACAATCGTTTATTCTTCGGTGTATTAATCCTTTTATTTTTTTCACGAATTTTTTCGATGATCCTGTTAAAATCGATGACGCCATCGATTACGGGAACACGTTTAAAATCTTTATCGAATATCGTATCATTTTCTATGCTCGTTGATAAGACGTCGATCGTCGTTACCGTTCGTACGATTCTCGTCCATAATACGGATTTATATTTATTAACATTTTCGTCTTTTTTCCCAAGGCTTTTCTTTTTCGAATTGATTTCGAATGATCTTTGATAGGGTTTAGGTAGAAAATGTATCACATCTCGATTAGGTTCGCGAGATTGTCGACGCTGAAATTGACGAGTTTGATGTATTAAATAATGTCATTGTTAAAAAATCATTGCAAACCAAGTCTACGGTGCAAAAAAATTCTCTGCAATAATACAGGATAATAGATTAAATAAGGATTAAAAAGCGTATTCCTTTCATTTTAATGGCACTATTATCAAAGTGACTTTATTTCTTGATGCTCGTTAATATGTACAAAGTATATGTATATGTATATGTTTATGTATATGTATATGTATATATATATATGTAGATGTATAGTTAATATATAATCAACAACTACAATGGGAGGGAGTGAGGGAGGGTTCTACAATGCAGTGGCGCAGAAACGATTTGACTTTTTTTTTTCCCTTATTTTTCTTTTTGTTTTCGTTTTTCATTTTATCCTTTCAATTTCTTTTTCACGTGTTAATATTTAATATTCTTTGCAATCCTTTCAGAGCCACTGCAAGGGCGTTATTTACATAATGCATTTTACGATATATAATACCTTAAACGGCTAAGGGGGAAAAAAAAAAAGAACTTATAGTCAAGTGCTAAACGCACATATTCGCGGTTCATTTGGCACGGCAAATGAATAATAATTATTTTCATTGTAATTAATTCGACATTAAGGTTTGTGACATCGAGTAAGATTGGTATATATATATATATATATATATATATATATATGTACATATGTATATATATATATATACATATATATATAAAAAAAAATATGTATATATATTTACGTATGTATGTTATATACAGTCGAAGATTCATTTTATTAACTCACTTTAAGATGTATGCTCTACGTAAATCTAATTTACACGAGTGTTTTAAAACAAAAAAAATCAAAAAAAAAAAAAATAAAAGAAAAAGCAAAAGAAAAGAAGAAGAAAAGAGAAAAAAAAGAAGGGACAAAACAAGTGCACTTGGGCACGTAATATGCTAGTTAGATTAGTTTATATCGATTGTATGACTTTTTCCTCTCTTTCTTTTGCCGTTGCTCCTTTCTTTTTTTTCCTTTCTTTTCTTTCCCTCTTTTACTTTTCTTCCTTTAATTTTTCATTGTTCTTTTTCATTTTCATTTTCTTTTTCTTTTTCTTTTTTTTTTTGCGAAATGATTATCAGTAGATGGGCCCATCTCTGGTGTGCTTGTGCGCGCGCGCATTACTTTCTCGTGATGCCCAGATACGAAGCAATGCCGTTAATACTCTCAAAGAAGATTCGCAAAGCGTCCTGTTTCTCGTAGTGGTCCCGTACCGTGTCCGCATTCGCCGGACGTCCCGGCACGTCAAGCAAACGTTCCTCCACCAAACGCTACAGTACAATAGTTTTTTCTTTTTTACATTTGTAGCTTATGTGCCGACGACGGTGGTGGTGCTGCGCAAAATAAATGGCGACGGGAAAATCAAGGACAATGGACGATTAGGATGGATGGATGGATGGATGGATGGATGGTTGGATGGATGGATGGATGTGTATATACGTGTAAAATGTACGTATGGGTATGTGTGTGAATGTGTGTGTAAGTATGTGAATATTTTTTGTTTCACTTATCAAAGTATCAAATCAACGAAATTTTAGTCCAATCAATGTGCATAACAATAACGGCGTGAAAACGTGCGTAATATATTATTAATAGATAAATTGATTTCTATTTCAAACTAAATTTTAAACTGTGAGATGATTGAAGTGTATAAAGATAAATAGAGAATTCTATTTATATATATTATATAGAATCGTATATGAGTGTGCATGTGTATATGTGTAATTAATATATGTGATATAGGTACTATGTTCGCTATGCACCATGCAAATTAAGTCTTCGACCTCTACAGGATCTAAGAAAAAAAGAAAAAAAAAAAAAAAAAGAAAAGAAAAAACTCGCTAAACTCTAAATTGCATACGGCAATTAATATTAATGATAAATTTTGATTTTACTGTCACTCTCGATACGCCGTTTAATACGTAATATAAAATACATTAAATTAGTTCTCTCTCTCTCTCTCTCTCTCTTTCTCTCTCTTTCTCTCTCTTTCTCTATTTCTCTCTAACATTTAATTGAATGAACTTATAAGTTATGTATGAAGAACTAATGAAAAGCTTTTTCCTCTGTTATACGTATCATCTATCATGCAGCAAAATTAATTATTCTTTCGTCGTTTATCGATTCTAATAAATTAATTTACCTTCCTTCAAGATCTTTCTTAGTTTTCTCAAAGAGAGAAAAAAGGAAAGACAAAAAAATGGCAAAATAAAAAAAAAGAGGTTATCACTCTCATTCCTCCTATTCATTTCTAATGAATAAATTACAAACGTGATTATGGCTGCATACAAGTGCAAAAATAAAACAAAACAAAACCATAAAGAAAAGAAGAAAAAAAATTCGATATGCGTGATAGATGTGAAAATTTATGCAAGAGGAACGGGGATAGGGGTGGGCCAGTGGGTGGTGAGCAGCGGGGAGAGGCGGGCAGTGCAATATTATACCTATTTTTACTAGACGACGTTTATGACGATTGTCTTAAGTCTATTACGTTTTGTTGTTGTTGTTGTTGTTCTTGTTGTTGTTGCTTTAATTGTTGTTGTTGTTGTTGTTGTTGTTGTTGTTGTAGTTTTTATTGTTGTTGTTGTTGTTGTTGCTTGCTTGCTTGCTTGCTTGTTTTATTTTCTGCGTGCATGCCTAGGCAATGTGTCTTGGATTAGGATGTCCTTGCTCGTGAGGCATGCTACGTGATGGTGGTGGTGGTGGTGGTGATGGTGGTGGTGGTGGTGGTGGTGGTGATGGTGGTAGTGGTAGTAGTGATAAGTATGTAGTATCCCGGTGTATATATTATATATATATATTTTTTGTTGTTGTTGTTGTTGTTTTTTTTTCTCTTTTTTTCTGATTATTTATTAATATTTTCTAGGATGGAACGTGGATGAGGCCCTTTTCTTACTTCCCAAAAGGCCCGTACTGTCGCGCTAGATTACTCACATATTGCGTTGAATGGCTCGTTGGAAACTCGGCCCATTTGCTCAGGTCTATACTTGGTAATACACCACTACGGCATGGTACTCGTGGATTGCTGTTAATAATACATCGTTAGAATTGCTCTTAGTTTCGTAAGAAAATTTTAATCGAATAATGTATAACAGATAGAATTTCGAACGAATTTAAAACTAACATATGTAATACTTACTTTTAATTACGTTTTGTATTATTTGCAGAGATAAAAAGAAAGAAAAAAGAGGAAGTATAAAAAAAAAAAAGAAAAGAAAAGAAAGAAAGAAAGAAAGAAAGAAAGAAAAATATGGCAAACTTACATTTCATGATCAGGCAGAACCATTGGATATATTTGTATGGTGTCTATCAGGTCTGTGTTGTCGCATATCATTTTAGCAAGTTTCGTTTTACGAATTTCATTGAGTTGATCTAGAAAAGTGAAAGCGAGAACGACCATTAATATAATTGTAATATGGCCTTGTGGAACAAGAAACTCTCGAGAGGATTCGAAAGGATCTTACCGAGAGTGAAGGACGATGGTTGGTTCGGTAATTCGTACCAAAACCTGTCACCACGTCGTGAATGGCTAAATTGCGTAGCGATTACACAGGCAAAAGTTGGGCCAAGCATACTACCCGGAAGTGGTCGCTCTGATACACCACCGGACCACAAATCTACGTCCGCTGGATGTCTGTTTGAAAATCGATATCATATTTATCGATGCATTCATTGCGAACGAAACTTTGTTTTTTTTTTAATTTGGAAAAAAAAAAAGAAAAAAAAAATATTTTTTTTATTTTTTTTTCTTATTTTTTTTTTTTTTTGTTCTTCTATACTCACTCGAAAATGGAGCTATACCGTCCAATAGTCTCGTTTGGCATGGATCCGAACAATTCGTCGAAGGTCTTAGCCTCGGGTAATCCACAATATTTTCTAAAACGATATAACATTATTATTTATCACTTTAATATCGTTGGATCGAATGACATTGAAAGTTGAATTGTATAAACTAACCGGAAGTCCATGTAACTCGGTATACCAAATTCTCTTCCACGTTGCATATTGAATGATACCAAATCCATTCCGAACTTTGCACCAACCTTTTTGAACAAATGATTTGTCACCTGGAAAATATTATCATCGGAAAAGTTTTTAACAGACAATCAATACCTGATCATTTTTATTCTTATTATTGATGTTAATGTGAATTATAATAATCAACACGTTGTTACTTCTTGTGTTATCGAATCGTCCATAGCTTGGGCAACTTGATTCATTAATCCCATAAAGTATTCGTCCAAAACTCCAGCGCGATATAGATCGTACGGTCTTCTAATTAGATCTGATAATCTTTTCGAAGCTTAAAAAAAAAAAAAAAATAAATAAATAAATAAATAAATACACAATCGTAATTTAAAAATTCTTATTGATATTATAAATATTATCGTAAGATTTATTTACCAATAAATTTATGAGCTTTGCTCCAACGTTCGACCGCAGTTGGTAGCAAAGAATGTCCAAATCTAAATGCAGCAGCGGCGAATGCATCGATAACACCAGGATTTACTGTTGGATCGTATCCATCCCAATATACCTACAAATGTTATCAATTTATTTTTGTAAAACATTATTGAAATACCAATCGATCATTATTTATTTCTTTCTTTCTTTCTTTCGAAAAAATATCATCTTACGTTTTTCTCAAGAAGAAGTCCAAACTTCTCCATAACATCTTTTCCCAAAAGTATCGGGAGGAATTCATTATAAGTGATATGTTGGATTTCAGCGATGACTATGCGTCTTGATTCCTGGAACAACGTCTCGTCATCCCAATGAGGATTAATACGAGTGAGTATTTTAGCAATCCTGTTGTGTTCCCTTGCTACCAACGTATGCATACACGTTAATACCAATTGCTCGTTAACTCTAATTTCACCTAAGATTCAAACAAAAAGATCAAATCAAATCGAATCGAATCGAATCTTAATTAAACGAAACTTTTAACGATGTTACAGTTGTACGTAATATTTTGTAAAATCATGAGAATTATTTTTAAATATGTATATTTATCGAGATTCATAAAAGATATTCAGAACAATTCTAAGGCGAGCTCTTGAGAACTTTCCATTAAAGCACCGCGTAAGTTTTATTATTATGGAAAGTGACTCCGATTGTAAATCATTTTCCATAATACTTTCCCACGTCATACCTTTCCTAATCATAGATCAAGGAGAGCGTAAGTTAGTCCGTGTGAAAGAAAACAATTCAATTACATCATTTCTAGATCATAATTGATGGCCGATGCAACGTTAAATTTAATTAATTAACTCGGAAACTTTTCTTTTTTTTTTTTTTTTTCTTTTTTTTTCCCATTGTTATCAACGAAAACAAATCTTACCTGCTTCGAAACAGTACATCGATTTGTTCGGACGAGTGCATCCTTCGTCTGGTATATCTAATTTCAATGGCAATAGATCTTTCAATCCGTACTCATTAAAAACTGGATTCATTCTTAACAATCCGCCATAACCGCTTCGGAGTTTTCTAAATTGGGGAAAAAGGAAAAAGGGAAAAAGGAAAGAAAAAAGATTATAACGAATAATTAAAAAAAGAAGAAGAACAACAAAAAAAAAAAGAAACGGCACAATTCTATTTATATTAATATAATTTCGTAAAAGGGCATCAATGTAATTCGTGTTTAGAGAAGTTAGAATTTCGAGTACGTGATTGCATGGGATCAACAAAGTCCGGATCATAGATTTTGCAACAGTGGATCCTATGATGTGAGCCTGCTGATAGAAAGTCTGGGGAATGGTCTAATGTCTCTAATACCAACGTTAGAAAATATAGAACGACGTAATGCTGATTTATTGTCCTGAATATGATGTAACGAATGTAGGTACATACGTATGCAGGCTAAATAAACTTGATTTGACCGATATATATATATACATACATACATACATACATACGTACATATATATATATGTATATATATGTATATATGAACGTAGCCTATCCATAAATCGGTTTAAAGTGTTCAAACTCGACAAGGGCAATCTGGATTCGCACATTAATCATCGATTCCTCTTTGATTTTGTTTAATCGATTCACGATATTGTAAGATCCTTTGAATTTCGTTCGATATCCCAAAGAATATATATACATATATATATATATATTCTAAATGGATATAATAATTTTTTAAATGATGAAATGAAAATTTTCAATTGAGAGAAATATTTAATTAATTAATAAATTTAATCGTTTGTGAATTACCTAGAAAAATTCTCCGTAATACCGTAAACGGTATTTCCATCCAAAACTCCGGTTAACAAATTGAAAGGTATACGTGATCCAAGACGACATCCTGGTCGGACTGCTGGAAACGCTCGTACAAAGTCCATACATCGAACGTTAAACAATCTGTAGAAGTAATCGTCCTCTGGTATATGTATCTCGTTGCAATATGGATTCTTCAAATGTGGTGGACGAGAACAACATTCTTCCGGATCATTACGATTTAGAGGATCTAGAAAATGTTTCAATTTCATTGAATTCAATTCTAACGTAACGTTAACGTTCATTTAACGTTACTTTTATTTCCTTGTTTTTTTTGTTTTTTTTTTCCTCTTTTTTTTCTAATCATTTCCCTCTGATACTTCAATGCGAGCTTGTGCAAAAGTGAAAGACAAGAGTTGACTTTATTTTTCTTTTTAGAAAAAATGGATTTCATGGAAACAGTAATAACGATTACACCTCGTTGGAATAATCTTGCCGCTGTGATCGTTCGCTTTCTCTCGTAGTTATTCTCCTTACGATATAAGGCAAATAATATATTCAAAATGGAAAGGGTTTAAAACCTACAAGTTGCTACACACTTAGATCTAACATAACTTCTCAACATCTAATTGGAGCACAACGTGTATATACATATATACATATACATATATATTTATGTAATATTTTTATCGGTCTGATATTCGGTAATCAAGAATTATATTTACTTTCTAACGTTTAATTTCTATTCTAATTAAGTATCTAGGGCAACATTCTTAGATACATTTTGTAGATTAGATTCGCGATATTTTAGATCGTCATTGTCATCGTTTTAACAAGAGATTGATCGATAAAATTATTCAAGTCACTTTCTTTTTTAAAATACATACATATATACAATGTATATATATATATATATATATACACATATATAAAGAGAAATGTATTTCTTTCGAAAGTATAAACATATATTACCTAAGGGCGTTCCAGTAAGCGTGTAATCATGATCCATGAATTGGCCCCAGGCTATCACCATGACAGTACCAGCATGATCGTGATATCCCTCATCTGGATGCATCGTACGGGATACTATTCTGGACAATGGTAATTCTCGTCCACTTACGGCTATCCTAGGTGCTGATATACCATCGGAAAATCGTGGTGGCATTAATCTAAAGAAAGAAAAGAAAAGAAAAAAAAAAGAAAGTAGATTAGATATCGATAAGATAAAATGTTTAAAAGAAACATCGTAGATAATTATATTCGATATTATTATTATTATTATCTTTTTTTTTTTTTTTTTTTTTATGTTCACCTTGTGAATGGCGACAAAGTTGAACCCCATGTTGGATTTTGTAAATTTGTACATAGCCCATCGTATCTTCGATATTTTCCCGGTCGACATTCGACGTTGCTTAGAAAAGCGGGACATATCTCGCGTATCAATGTTTTCGATGTATCGATTAATGGAAGATTTTTCTCAATATCCTCAAATGTCAAGCCGTATCTATTAAATCAAATGATAAGTTTAGAAATCGTTTGGTAATTCTTATGTTTAATATTTGTCACGCACGTGTATTCGTGTGTGTGTTTTTTGTCATTCGAAAGTTGTTCATTGATATTTTACAAAGCTTCGTCGACGAACGTGTTCCTTGTACTTACATTTGAGCTAAATTAGTTGATATGTCAAGTAAGAGTTCACCGACCGTAGCCAGATCCTCGGGTCTCCAGATTTCGTGTTTAGGCTTTGCGACGTCTATTAAATAAGAAATAGAAAATATTAGAATCAGAATTGATACGGATGATAATTATTTTTCTTTCGTTGTAAAGAAGAAGAAAAAAAAAAAGAAAGAAAAAAAAAGAATTTATACATTTGCAAATAAAATTACACAATTTTTTGACTAATCGTCGAAGGGAGCAACGAAAGCAATTATACTTGGGAATCGGTGTATGAATAATATACTATGGCCGATTAACCAACGCAGCATGATGGAACATGAAATAAACGGTTTCAATTGTATATCGAAGAAAAAAACTTGACTTGGATTGAACGATTCTATAACAGAGAATGATGACGATAATAATCGTCTTACTTACTGATGCGTTTCCTCGCCTCGATATAGGCATGATTAACGGCATCGTAGGTGATACAGGTCTGCGATCCCGCAGTAGGTGGACTGCAAAAGAGAAACTTAATAATAATAGAAAACTAAAGACGAGAGAAAGAGAGAGAGAGAGAGAGAGAGAGAGAGAAATAGAGGGGAAAAAAGCAAAAGAGAAAGAAAAAAAAAGAAAGAAAAAAGAAAAAGAAAAGAAGAAGAAGAAAAGAAGAAGAAGAACTCAGCGAGGATGTAAAACGAAGGCGCGAGAGACTATGATCTTTGACTCCTAGAGTATTATTTACAGCTTCCCTTCTCTCCGGCTTAATTACCTAACGCGTTCTAGCCTAGTTTACATCTATTTCTATCTCTCTTGAAAACACCGTGCATTTAGAAACGCGTTTATAAAACCTGTATAAAGTAGGTAGTAAGTTGTTACCGGTAGGAATTGAAGAAGATGCAAGCAATCTAGCAAACAAGTAAACAGGCAGGCAAGCACATTGTTTCATTCTTTTTCTTTTTTTCTTTTCCCCTTCTTCTTTTTCTTTTCTTTTCTTTTTTCTTTTTCTACGAATTTAAGAATAGAAAATATCTATAATAATGCAAGGAAATTAGAAAGGGAAGAATGCATTAACGATTTGAAAGTATATTAGTATAAAAAAATATACTTATATATAATACATATATATATATATATACATGTATATATATATATATATATGTATGTATATATTATATTCTATGGTATATAAAATCCACGTACGAAAGCTTACATTTCGAGAGATATTCTGTATCTAGGTAACTCGAGACTATATATTTCGCAGAGTATCCTGAGAATTGACTCATATATCCTGTTTCTCCTAGATACGAAATATACTGGCATTGACGTGCTGCCCGTGGCTTTTACCATCGAAGGTTGACCCACTGGCCACTATATTATATCCCAACACCATTTACTTTCTGATCTTTTATTTTCTTTATTTATTTATTATCTTACGTTAGAAGCCATTTCTTCCGCGTTACGACGGACCTCGGACACACCGCTCCAAGGTATGACTCACTTTCATCCTACATTATTTTTGCATACGCGCACATATACTATATCTACTACTATTATTATTATTATTATTGTTATTGTTGTTGTTGTTGTTGTTCTTGTATATCACACAGAAAATAATTCTATTATCATTGTTATTATTTTAAAATAAATAGGAAAGCTTTTGTTATTCTATTATACTCTCTTTTTCTCTTTTATCTATCAAAGAAAATAGCTTTTCTATTTTCTTTTGGAGGATGTTGCAAAAAAAAGAAAAAAAAAGAAAAAAAAAAAACAAAAAAAAGAAGAAAAAGAAGAAAGAAAAAAGAATGATTACAAAGAGAAAATAGCTTTGCGAAAATAATATAATGATTTTATCGTATTAATAAAAATGAAATGATTATTGGTAATAGAATGTTCAGAGCTAGTTTGTTCGCCTTTCGTTGCATAAGAGTGCGCGCGATTTGAAAACGTTCACGCATGGCGGAGTAACCTAGATAAAGTATATATTAACTTCACCCACCATGTTTCTTATATATTATTTATCCAAACGTCAATATATTATTTTATTTGTTGCAATTTTTCCCAACATAGTAAAACATTAATAATATCCATTTTACTCTTACTTTTTCTTTCTTTCCATTTCATCGCGGTAAACGTTCGTTTCTTACGTTGTATAATTTGTTTGTTTCCTCTTTTCCAATACAGTGGCTGTTAACGATTATTATTATTATTATTATTATTTTTTTTTTCTTTTTCATTTTTACGATATATCTATCTGTCCATCGCGTTATTCCAACGAGCTCGTTTTTTCTCTCTTTTTCTTCTTTTTCTTTTTCGAAAACGAAAAAAATAGTTGTAAGAATGAGACGAAGGAATTGTTGATCCTAACACGCGAAAGCACATTACCATCGCGGAATGGAATTCCGAGTTCGCGTCCTTCTCGGCAATGCCGAATGCAATCTCGTCTAGATTGTCTAGAAAGTACTCGTTAAAAGTGCGTTCATACCGCAGTACTATATATTGAATCAAAGGAGCAAAGAAAATGTCAGGAATAAACGTACAATGCTCCCATAGTTATCGCATTTTACGCGATAACAACTATTATATATCGACATATCCGATCACATCGAGGGGGTCATTATACGTTTCTCTTTCTTTTTTTTCTTTTTTTTTTCTTCTTCTTTCCGTTTTCTTCTTTCCTTTTTCTTCCCGTGGAAAACTATCTCAACGATGCATTCTTCAATGCAATTCTCTCCTTATTTCGAGATACTTGATAAATATTATAAAGAAATTTTTGACCTAACAATAAACGATTAATATCTTTTTTTACTTCATATACATGTGTGTGTGTGTGTGCGCGCGTTTGTATATGTATATATATGTATATATATATATATTATGGCTCCTACTGTCAATTATAAATTCGACCTTGAACGATCTCATTCAACGTTATGCACCCTTTCGCTCGAACTTTCGTAACATAAAAAAAAAAAAAAAGAAAAAAAGAAGAAAGGAGAAAAGCGAGAAAGAAAAAAGAAAGAAAATAAAAAAGAAGAAACCTGAAAGATAGGACAATAAAATGATGACAAGAAACTCGTTTCTCTTTTGCGTGAACACCCTTAAAAAAAGAAGAACGGACCCGTTAAAAACTTCTTATTCTCTCTTTCATTTGGTACCGAGTACCGTATCGCAATAAGACGCACATAATTTTTGAGAATTCCCTTTACGTAATTCTGACCGCTGTCGTAATGCATTCGCGCGTACGTATATATGTATATATGTATGTATGTATGTATGTATGCTCGTTTATGCAAGTAAACTCCACGGGACAGCAGGAGATACCTCAGCGATCGAGTCCGAGTACGTAAGACAGAAATGGAAAAGGTGAACCATGGCACGTTTCTATACACACACACACACACACACACACACACATATATATATATATATATATATATATATATATGTAATTCTTTTTTATTCGAATTCGTTCGAATTTCTAAAATTTCTCTTGAAAAAAAAATACTTCAATCAAATTATTCTCAGCTATGTTTTCGTAAGCTACGTTTTCCCTTTTCGTTTATTTATTTATTTATTTATTCTTTTTTATTTATCATTTATTTTCCTTTTCTTTTTATTTTCATTTAATTTCTACTCATTAGAATTATCATATCTAGTGTTAACGAAAGTTTATGTCAAAAGGTCAAACACATATATTTTGTTCTTATGTTATCGGTGATTGACGATAAATATATATATTCATACATATAAGCATACTCGAGTGAAAGTAAAAGTTGGCCTTATGTTTCATTTACTTAGTCATAACGGAACTCGATCGTTTCCTCTTTTACATATAGAATATCGTAATTATGTTTATTTAAATAAAACATTAATAAGATAAATAGATAGAAAGATAGATAGAGAGAGAGAGAGAGAGAGAGAGAGAGAGAGAGAGAAAGAGAGAGAAAATACTTACAAATTTCCTCGAAGTAAATTATAAGTGTAATCGAAAACGCTAGTCCTGCCAGGACCATCTAGGATCAAAGCACATTCCTCGGCGTTTCCATAAATCTCAACCGGTTGATATTGCAATCCTTTGCATGCATGATCATGGCTGTTAAATCCGATCAGTAACGCCACGATTCCTATTATCGTGCTCCGCGCTATCGCGAATCTGTAAAATAACAAATTAAAGATTGGTCAAATAGAATTTCGTTTGGATCTTTTCCTTTTTTTTTTATTTTTGTGTATACGTGTGTATGTGTGTGTGTGTGTGTTTCTGCACATTATTCTTATATTTAGAAGTAAAAACATCCGTGATAGATTTCCTTTAACGATAAATATATAAATTTTATATAATCCCTCGGTATAGAAAATATAATATTATATACTTCCGAGGATCTATCCAATCGACGTCAATCATGCGTTTCGTTCGATCGATTCATTTCTATCAATGTGAAAACAATTTAAATTGTAACTCGTAACGAATCGCAACGAATTCAAGCGTTATTCCGATCACGTCGAAATGCGAGAAATCGGAAATCGTAAGAAAGCGAGAAGGATTCGAAAACCGATGCTTTTTGTACGATAAGCGAAGCTTTCACCGATTTTTTTTTTTTTCTCAACTATGCATGAATAATTTATTTTCCTTTTAAACGTGCTGTTCGTTAAAACGTTCCTTACAAAAGAACATTTCGTTAATAATATTAATATCAATATAATTTCGTTAATAAAATTAATATTAATATTAATAAAGCATTGTAATATATTGACAAAATTTATAATTGTTCGATCAATACGATACCATTGATCTATTTAATAATCTATTTAGTAATATAATTATTAGTAATATTATAAAATATTGTATTTCGTTTAAATTAGATCAAATTGGATTTCTATTACTATTAAAATAAAGTATCAGATAAAGTTCGACAGATTCGGTTCGATTTGAACGAACCGCAACGCGTTAAAGGAATTATGAAAGTATTAATTTGTCTCGATCGCCTCGGTGGTTACACGTTCGAGAAACTATCGTTGCGGGTTAAACGTCAAAGCCGTCGTCGAGCTTTCGTCGACTATCTCGTTGTAACATCTTTTAATTCAAAGCAAACGTCGAGTGTGGGCGGACAGTGATTAAGAGCTCTCTCTCTCTCTCTCTCAACTAATAACGCTTCTTATTTTCCTATGCAGTCGTTCAACATTTTCTCTTCTCTTTATTCCTTATTTTTTAATAATTATTAGAAACTCTGTATGTTCCTTCTTTTCTTTTTTTCTTTCTATTTTCTTTTTCTTCTTCTTTCTTTTTTAACCGGTGAAAGGATTTCAAAGTCACGGGTAATAAAAAAAAAAAAAAAGAAAGAAAAAAAAAGAAAAAAAAAAGAAAAAAGAACAGATTAAAGAATAGAGATCAATTTTCATCTAGCAAAAAATGAAGAAAAATGAAAAAAGAAAAAGAAAAATAACAAAAAAGAGATTTTTGTCGGGTTCTTTTTTTCTTTCTTTTCAAATTAATTACATTAAATCCTTAATCGAAACGAGATAGAGGAATAAGGTGGAAACATATTATTCATCAAGGCAATTACACTTGTCGAAATCATTCTCGGTTCTAAAATGATCGAGATAATTCATCCTTGTAATTCTTTAATAATGACACGATAAAATAAATAATTTTGCAAGTTAGCCGTTGGATGTGAGGTTGAATTGTACGGACGATGCAGCAAGAATCACTTCCTCGTTACATAAGGGTGTGCGCATCGTAATGGAATTGCGAAAGTCCCTTCCCCTATTGGTCTTTACCGCGAATTATTTTACGTGTTCGCGGATTATGACATAATACTAGGATATCTATCCTATAAGCTGGACCTTCCGTGTGAAACTCACCTTTTTCCATCTATGCTCTCAATAGTCTCGATAATTTAAAATTTTATCTCAATCATTTCATTATATTATATACAGGACGTTTCAGAAATTGTTCGTTGAAACTTTAATCGCCATTATATTATTCTATTGACAGTAAGAATTAAAGAAAGAAAAGAAAAAAAAAAAAAAAAAACAGAAGAAAGAAAAAGATCAAGTCATAAATATGGATCACAGTAAATGCTTCTTCCATTTTCGAAGTTACGAACAACATTTTTTACAATGCATCACTTTGAGACGTTTGACGCATTAATGCGGAAGAATATCATTTCGTGAAAATTTCTTTGATGATAGACGATATGTTGCAATAGTTTTTAAACGTTTCTCTTTCTAAGATCTCTTTAATGAAATAGAAAGAAAAAACAACAAAACAAAAAAAAAAAAAAGAAGAAAACAGAAAAGATTTACAAGTGGAAAAAAAAAGTGTTTCAGGGGTCTTCCTCACGTTTATGATAATTTTTTTTTTTTTTTTTTTTTTATTCGTCCTTACAACGAGCAGAATTAGATTTCTTTAAAGTTCGGCGATTTATTTTTGAAACAACCTGTATAATATAATATCTATCATTAACGTTAACACCATTAACGCCATTAACAATTTTTATTGAACTTTATCTGTTGTTATTTGATTTGATTTAATTTGACGTTTTTCTTTATTATTATTATTATTATAATTATTATTATTATTATAATTATTATTATTATTATATTGATTATGATTATTATTATTATTATTATTACTATTATTATAATGATTATTATTATTATTATTATTATTATTATTATTATTATTATTATTATTATTATTATTATTATTATTATTATTATTATTGTTATTATTGTTATTATTATTATTTTACGGTTGGAGAAGTCGTTTAATTGTTTTACGGTTTAAAACTATGTCCTCTCAGTTTGAAGATGAGCGACAGATATACATTGTCACTTAACAATATATATTGCGGAAAATTTGCAAAAAATTTACTAAACCGTTAAGATAAAAGACCGTCCATAGCGGAATAAAATTGAGGATTACTTTCTCGATGCGATGCATAACGGATTCTCCTTTCACTTTGCGTAGTAGTCAACGAGGTTAACGTGCAACTCGCGTGATAGAGATCAAACGAGGTTTCGTGAGATCCGACGAAATGAATGTCGATCTCCTTAATTAAAATTACGTAGATACATATATTTTTTTTCTTTCTTTATTTTTTCCTCACTTTCGATGATTATTTAACTTTCGTCTAATTTAAAAATTTGTTTATTGGTCGTGCACGTTGAAACTATTTTTTCGAAGCGGTTATCATTTCAATCGAAAGAGAGAGAGAGAGAGAGAGAGAGAGAGAGAAAGAAAGAAGAAAAAGAAAAACAAAAAAATAATAAAAAAGCTATAAAAAAATATCAAAGAACGTGTCAAAAAACTCACCCTTCGAGCATCGCGCTGCCTGGTCACACGCGATCCGTACGTTTTCACGAAACCAACGTTGAGTTGACAAAACCAAAAAGGGTGGACGTGAGGATGAAAGAAAGGGAGAGAAGGGCAATGAAGATAAAAAGAGAAAGAGGGAGAGAAAGAGAGAGAGAGAGGGAGAGAGAGAGAGAGAGCAGACAGAAAGACAGAAAGAAAGAAAAAAACAAGAAAGGGAAAGGAAAAAAAGAATGTAGACAAAAGAAAAATGACAAAATCGAAAAGAGGGATGAAAGGAAGTCGAGGAGACTTTTGTTTTCCGGGAGAGTTCGTTTTAAATCGAACAAAACGAAACGTAAACGGAACGAAACAAGAGAAGAGAAAAAGAGAAAAAGAAAAAGAGAACAGGAGGAAGATAAAAAAAAAAAAGAAAAAAGAAAAGAAAAAGTACAATAATAATAATAATAATAATAATAATAATAATAATAATAATAACAACTATAACAGTAACAGTAATAACAATCACTCCCGGTGATAGATAACGATGATAACACACGCGTGTTTAATTCGTCCCTTTGCTCAGCGTGAACACTTCTTTGGGAACGAATAATTCTTTTTGTAAGTGCTAAGCAACGCGTACTCGGCAATGCGTTTGGATTGTTGGAATAACGTCGTCCACTTCTACTTTTGCTTCCTTTCGGCTAGCTCCAGTTCGATTCTCGCGATGGAATGAATAGCTCTAGCGATGGTGTCTCTTGTGGTACCTTTACTCTCCGTCTTTCACTCCGGCGGTCGACGATTTACTGACCGACACACGTTTTACTCCAAGCTAAAACCCGAACGGTGCCCTCAGTTACATACGCGAAGCTAATAACGGCGATGATATCGATAGATCCAATCCCCTCCTCCCCCTCCCCCTACCCCCATGACTTTTGTTATTTATTCTCAAATAACTTACTTGTATGAGTGTTCTTATTATTATCATTGTTGTTATTATTATTACTATTATTATTATTATTATTTGTTTCTTCTTTAATACATTGGTTCATGCTCCCCCGAAAAGTACATTCTCCGTTTGTCTCGTTCTCGAATTGGACGAGATTTTGTGAAGGTAGGAGGTAAAATGTCTACGGACTCGTTCTAACCCCCACCCCCCTCTCACTCTCCCACCTTAACCTCCAACCCCTTCCCCTATACCATCTCCCTTTGTCGTTAAGTAGGAGAAACGTACATCTTGTACATAAATCCTCCTCATGTAGTTGCTTGTTTTAACATAACATGAACCGAAAACCTGGTACCAGTCACGGTTGGTAAAGGCTCGTTTAATGTTCCGACATTAAACAGGAATGATGTACATTTTTTTTTTTTTTTTAATTTCTTTTCCTTTTCCTTTCCTTTTCCTTTTCCTTTTCCTTTCCTTTCCTTTCCTTTCCTTTCCTTTCCTTTCCTCTTTTCTTCCTTCCTTTTCTTTTTCCGATACTTTATGATACGTTTGCTTTTGAATTCGTATAATTAGATGGATGTGAGGTGAATAATAGGATAATGGGATAACAATGAGTAATTCACTAATTAATTTTACGATTTATCTTTGTTAGATCGAATGAAAATTTTCTGTAGAAAGTTCCTGCGTGTATATATATATATATATATGTATATACATATTATATATTTTTATGAGATGAGAATGGAATCGATTATGAATAAAGAATAAAAAGAGATGAGGAAGGATAAGGAGAAGGAAGAAGAAGAAGAAGAAGAAGAAGAAGAAGACGGTCATAGTAGAAGGGAGGAGGCGTAGCTACCGTTCACGTTTTACTTTCCTTTCTCTAAACGAGCGTCACACGACCGCTGCCCTCGATTCGAGAGACAATCGATTGTCTCTCGAATCGTTGACGAATCTCGGCGGACCTTTTAAAGTCCTAAAAACTTATGGAAACCAAAGGGGAAGTAAAAAAAAAAAAAAAAAAAAAAAGAAAAAAAAAATAAACGAAAAAGAAAAAAAGAAAATAAATCTGAAAAAAAGTGAAGTAATCGAAAGTGAAAGCAACTCGCATTACTTTCTAAAGAAGTTTTAGACGGATAGAAACGCAAATTAGAGTGAAAGGGTGTGAATGAATGTGTTATCATTTGTTATCTTTCTCACGGGGATATTCTTGAAGAATATTGCAATAAGGAATAAAATAAGAAAAGGAGAAGGAAAGAGAAGGAAGAAGAAGAAGAAGAAGAAGAAGAAGAAGAAAAGAGAGAAAAAAGGAAAAAAAAAATAGTTAATCTTACAACGAGTCCGATTACTTTCTTTTCTTTTCTTTTTTTTCTTTCTTTCTTTTTTTTTTCTTTTTCTTTTTTTTTTTTGACTGACTCACTCACGGACGTTCGAAATGAATTAAATAAAAACTTTCTAAACACATAGATTACGGATAAATATCTTGTATATCACCTACACGATTTAGTTAATCTATCGATCAAACTCAAATCAACGAAATGGAAGCCTCGAGCTATGGAGATCTATTGCCCAATATCGATCCATTTATCTCGAAGGTGTCCATGGTCGGCGTGCCAAGTCATTCATTTAAAAAGTATAGGCTCGTTAAACGAGCTCGCAATTTTCTCTTCTCCTTCCCTTTCTCAATTTTGTACTATGTCTACCTAACTACGTATGGTATGTAGGTAGGTAGGTAGGTTGATACGTACGATACGTTTTCCACGATTTTATCGAGTTTTACTCGAACGACACGCCATTTTACGAACAAGGGACGCAGGAGGTAAACGGATCTGTTGACATATATATATATATATATATAGACTTTAAATGGAAAATCTAATAAAATTATAGGATAATTTTAATGGGTTATTAGTTAGATTGTTCCATGGTCCTTCAATTCATTGCGTTAACTTCTTTTTTTTTTTATCACGTCGTAAAATTATCTACAACCGTGAATAATAATATAGGCGAGAAGTCGACGAGGATTATCGAAAATGAAATATAAAAGAAAATTACGACGTCTTTAACGAAGTTGTATTTTATCCGGTTAGTTGCATGAATGAAAATTATATATAAGCTCTCTCTCTCTCTCTCTCTCTCTCTCTCTCTCTCTTTCTTTCTCTCTCTTTGTTTCTCTAATATTCAATTTCTTTCTATCTTTTTTTAACTCCCATCTCCCACCTCTCACTCTCAATTTCTTTGTTTCTCTCGTTATCGGTAATAAATCGTTTAAGGAAAAAGAAGAAAGAGTCAAAGAGAGAAAGAGAGAGATTATAAATAATTCTTACATTACTATTATTTTACAAAATAAAAGAACGTTTGTCAAGATTACATGGTCAAACGATTCCAATAGAAAGTATAATAACGAGTATAAATTGTATTGAATCGGTGAGGCGTTACTTTGAACGATCATAATATCTATTTAGTTAAGTATCATCATACTTAACTAAAATACATACATATATATATATATATATATATATATATATATATTGTATGTATGTATATACAATATGTTCGGTTTAAATGTATATGTACGATGATTTCTCTAAGTATTCAAAATCCAGGAAAAGGTTTCGAACGAATTATTCATTAACAATTCGAACGTTGTATAATATCGAAGGACTATTAATGGTGATGATAATAAGTGGTATAAGTGAGGAAGGGGAAGAGCACGTCGTAATGATAATTATTTGACACGTTTTGGAAAATGTTTTTTAACGAAATCCTATATTTTTCATTACGATACTCTTGTTGCAGATATCAAATCGTTTCGAAAAACATTACATTTAAAAAAGATATATTTCGTATGAGTTGTTTTCTGATTTTAATTTAACGTAGTCTATCATTAGAATTAAATAATAAATAATTCCTAACATTAGTATTATCTATCGTACATCGCACAATGGAAGGTAGTTTTTTTTTCCTTCTTTTTCTTCTTTTTTTTGTTTTGAAAAAAAAAATTTGTATACCTTTTTGTATGTCTTTAATGGGAATCGTGCAATTGACGTCGTCAAAATATGTAAATGTATTATTAATAGCGTAGAAACTGTGAATGAATAAATGGACATTCATTTCAGTGGGACATGAATTTTAAAAACGGGATAAAATATATCAGAATACAAAAGAAAACTGAACGGTATCGGACTGGAATAAATATAAGAGTAGGATCGGATCGGATTAGGGTGGATAGGATTGCTGAAAATAATAAAGGATTGTTAAAGATCAATTATCGAAGATTGGCTGATCGAAGATAACTAAAGATCCCATAAATTTATCAAACAATGTCTTTAAATTTAATATTTAAATATATGTTAATAAATCATCGGTTAATCTGTGTACCTGAATATATAATTATATTTCAAGGCCATAGATATTAATAGGATTTATATAATTGTTTCTTTTACAAATGCCATACTTTATGGACGCATGCCAAAATGCCATACAAATATATCTAGTAAGAAATCTATTATATGAAAATTATTATACTTAGTTATATATTTAAATAATTATTGTGATGTTAAAAACACAAATTTTTTATTATTAAAAATAGATCCGATTTTCAAAATTAAGTTACATCTTCGGATATTTTATATATTCTCCAAAAAAAAAAAAAAAAATATTCCAATTCTTTTACTCTAATCGAACTGGAATATTTGTTCACGCTAATCGAACTTTCTATCGGGATCACATGATACTCGAAGAGGTAACATGTAAAATCATATTACCTCTTGGGAAGTTATGCTATCCTATTAGAAATTTAAAATTTTCGACAGGTATTCGATTTATATCATTCGTAAGTACTCTCGTTACATATAAATACAATATTCTCGATGACGTTATCGTACAAATTTATTTTTTTAATAGTACATCATTGGACTTGTTTCGACGTCATTTACAAAATATATCGTAATCAAATTTATACGTCGTCGTACAAAAGAACGAAGTTATTCTCGATTTTATTATCGAATAAATTTTTCTTTTTCTTTTTCTTTTTTTTTGGTAATTCGTCGATCATCGAGCATCGAATGATCTGTTTCTTTAGAAAATTTTTTGTTCAGTCGCACTATCGATAAGCGTTCAAAAATACTTTCGAGAGGAATTTTGTGCTTAGAAAAAAAAAAAAAAAAAAAAAAAAAAAGAAAAGAAAGAAAGAATAGAACATACAATGTAAAGGAAGTAAAAAATGAATTGAAGTGAAGAGAAAGAGAGAGAGAGAGAGAGAGAGAAAAAGAGAGAGAGAATAGGCACGTAAGTAAATTTTATAGAGTGAGTTTTAAAAGCTGATTTAACATGTCTAGAAGAATTTGAGGATACGCCGAGAAACATTGGATCTTAATCGCGTTAATCAACTTTTTGATGCGGGCGGGCGTTCGTGCATACATACATATACATATATACATATATAGTATTTATATATGTACGTAAATGCGTGCGTGTATAAACGCACGTACTGCGAAAGAAAGAGATAAAGAGAGAGAGAGAGAGAGAGAGAGAGAGAGAAAGAGAGAAAGAGAAAGATACTATCGTGTATATCCTTGATCGGGGCGGCTCCGGAAATTCCCTCCGAATGATTTTTTTTAAACAGGTTTGGCTTGTGGTTGCGCGCATGCGCACTGGCACGCGTTTTGAAGCATGGATACATATTGAGTATGACATAACGCGTTTCTTTCATTTTCATCGAACCGTAATTATCACTAGAATCGTTAACGTCGTGTCCGATTGAAAGGAAAAAAAAAGAACGTGAACAAGAAAAAAAAAGAGGAAGAAAAAAAAAATAAATAAAAGTTACGTCCACTCTCGTCGAACATTTTAATTGATATTTCTCTTTAATATACCTTTTATTTCTCTTTAATGTAACTCTTTATCTTACAATTGTTCAATGAACATAGGGAAACTATGCCAGTAATATTTCAAGGAACAAGGAAGTCGAAATTTATCGATTATTTCGAAAAGAAAAGGAACAATCGTAATTTGACGTTTTTATTTAAAGAGACATACGTAACAATAAACCCTTCGAATTTGTTTTGCAATACCATAGCTACGACGTTCTTTTATTCTCAAGATATATTCTCAAGCTCGATCATTGCAAAATCAAGATTACAGCATCCGAAACTCGATCATCTGTGGACACCTGAATGTCTTGTTCTTTTACAATATAAAATTGTGTATCGAGAAAAAGGAAAGAGTGGGGGAGATGGGACAGAAAAAAAAAGAACTCACTCCCGTTAAAATATTAACACGAAATAATTATATATATATATATATATATATATATATATATATATATATGTATGTATGTATGTATGTATGTATGTATGTATAAAAAGGAGATCAATGGAGAAAAGCAAAAAGAAAAATGTTGAACCTTGGTATTCCACGCATTTCTGACCCAAATTTGGTTACCGCCCTTCCATTACCTACCTTTCTACCTTGCGTATTGATTAATAATATTTTTTTTCTCTTCTTTTCTTTATTCGTACTTTTATTTATTCTTTTTTTAATTTTAATTTATTTTTCACTTTATATATACGTATATATATTTTTATTTATTTGTTTATTTATTTATTTATTTATTTATTTATTTATTTATTTACTTTCCAATTTACATTTCTATTTTCAATATGTGAACGTCTGAAAGTCAATACAGGAAATATTATCCCTACGTATGCATGTCCGTTTAGCACGCTGAAACCGATATCCTTCATGAATGGCAAGACCGAAAGTGATAGTCCCGAAGGCCAAGCCTTCCTCTCTAACTTTCTATGATTAGAAAGAAGAAGAAGAAGAAAAAAAAAAAGAGAAAAAAATGAAAGGAAAAAAGAAGGATAATTAGAGAGGAACACGTTCGATCGGTAAGCGGAATCGGACGAAAGGAAGGAAGGAAGGAAGAAAAGTGGTAAAGAAAGAAAGGATGATCACAATTAAATATAATGATTGTATTATTCGCTCGTTTTCATATTTCCTCTATTATAAAAACAAAAAAAAAAAAAAGAAAACAAAAAAGAAGAAACATCAATTATGGATATATATTCATTATCGCGCATTAATTGTTTTTTTTTTTTTTTATAGAACTAATGAAATAATGACAGACTTATATATTATTATATATCGTAAATTTACGATCAAATATATTCAATATAATTATAATTCAGTAACGTATCATGGTAAATATTTCCTGTTTCTAATATAAAATTTCTAAATGATCTATCTTCATTTTGAATTTTAAATTGGCGAGAGTAGAAGAAGAAGAAAAAAATGACGAAGAGAAGGAGAAGAAGGAAGAAGAAGAAGAAGAAGAAGAAGAAGTGGAATAAAAATAAAAAGAAGAAAAAAAAAGAAGAAGAAGAAGAGAAAGGAGTCTTTGATGCTGCGAAGAAGGCGATCAAGCGCAAGTTGGTGAAAGAGATCGAGAGAGAGAGATCAAGAGAGATCGAAAGAGAGATCAAGGGAAAAAGAGAGAAAGAGAGAGAGAGTGAGAGAGAGAGAGAGAGGCGTCCCCTGTAAGTAGGACGGATCGGGTCTCGTGATACGATTTTTTCTTCAACAATTACCTACCTCTCTGTTAATAAATCTACACGCGAGCACACGGCTTGTTGTGTCGTAAGAGATTGTAAAAGACGAACCAGAGAATTTCTCCGAGAAAAATACATACATACATACATACATATATATACATACATATATATATATACACATACGTACGTACTTACGCACATATATACATATATACTACTTATTCACCCAATTGTTCGTCTACGTTTTAAATCGTATCAATGGTTGACAATTTGTAAATATATGTTGAAGCTTTTCCCTTACCCTCTCTCTCTCTCTCTCTCTCTCTCTCTCTATTTCTATCACGTTAGAATGTGAAATATTATCCATAATCCGGCAAAGGTAACGCGATATTAAATAATTTTTCTTCTACTTATTATTACTTTTTTCCTTCTCTTTTTCTGTGTGTTTTTTTTTTCTGTTTCTGTTTCTATGTCCTTTTCTTTTTTTTTTTTTTCCCCTCGAACTAGATCAGATTTCATTGTTCCCTTGAGCTGTCATAAATAACATAGAATAGTAGTAGTGGTAAACTCATTAAAGTTTAACGATAAATGAAAGTATCAATGTTGATATTCGTGATCGATCGAAGTCGATTAATTGCGATTACGATATTGGGTTTCCCGTGGACGAACATATGACTAACTAACTAACTAACTAACTAACTAACTAACTAACTAACTAACTGACAATAAGTATAAAAAGTACTTACCTGTGTTCGAGTATGTCTAGCGTGACTTGATGAAAAAGAGAAAAAGAGGAAGAAAAGGAACGAAAAAAAAAAAAAGGAAGGAAGTGAGAAAATAGAAAAGAAAAAAATGATTTTCACTCCGCAAGTCCGATTAAATTTGCGTAATGATATGTTACCGAAAATTTTATAACTTAGACGACGTTTGTTAAAATAAGGTTATTGTCGAGAAATTACAACGGTACGCGACCCTGATCGTACGCTATCGAGAACCATATTCCAACTTGTAGCAAAGGATCAACTTTCGCTTCGTTGCACCTCTGCGCACTCTGCGCAATCTTGCATCTCGATGCACATAACAGAGATATACACGGGATATATTTCGATCGTAATCGAATTTTTCTTTTGTACATTTGATTTTTCATTATTATTGTTATTATTATTATTATTATTATTATTATTATTATTATTATTATTATTATTATTATTATTATTATTATTATTATCGCGATACCGATACGCGCAAATACATTGTTCGTTTTTAATTGCGTTCGTTATTTCTTTTTTTCTTCTTATTTATTTATTTATCTTTTTTCTTTCCTCATTTTTTCTCTTGTTATCTTTCAAAATCTCGTTTGATTATTATTATTATTATTATTATTATTATTATTATTATTGTTATTATTACGATACCAATACGCGCGAATATATTGTTCTATCTTAATTGCATTCGTTCTTTTCGACGTTATCGTCTTTGTTTGTCCCTTTTTTTCCTTCTTATTTATTTATTTATTTATTTATGTATTTATTTATTTTGTTCGTTTTTCTTTCTTCTGTTATCATTGAAAATCTCATAAACGACAGCTTTTTCTTAACATTTATAAGGTACATTCAATGATTCAATGATCGTCCAACGTCGTCGTTTCTTATTCGCGAAAAGATAAAAGTGTCGAAGTAAAAGTCTTCGATACTTTTAAGAAGATATCGATCTTTAATAATATGTAATTATGCGTTAATTGTAATTAATGTCGATTATGTTTAACGACGATCACCCAATGATAATTCATCGATAATCAATTTCCCATAAACGTATGCAGAAAGTGAGAGGACATAAGATCCTCGTAATACCGTACGTTATATACGTAAGTACTTATGGCGTTACTTTCACAACGAGAGCAAGGTCTCGTTTTCTACACTTCGATTCGCCGTAATCTTTATCTTTCCGTCGGTATGGCGTGTTCAACGTTTGTGTTCGTCATTTCTATCGTAACAGAACGGCTTACGACTGGTATTTCATTCGTTGTTATTTCTCTTTTCTCTTTCTCTCTCTCTCTCTCTCTCTCTCTCTCTCTCTCTCTCTCTCTCTCTTTCTTTCTTTCTTTCAGCGTGTCGATGATACAATATTGAGATGTAACGATAAATAACAATTTGTAATCGAGAGAATAATAGATACAATATGAGTACTTGCTTTTTATTATTAAGTAGATAAAGTATATGTGGAGTTACAGAAAAAAAAAAAAAAACAAAAAAGAAATGAAAAAGAAGTATTCACGTTTTCTTTAAACGCAATAGATAGATTCGAACATATGAACAAACCTATGAACATTATTAATTTATCATCGTATTTATAATTGAACATGCAACGCCATCTTGTATTTGTTCGATGAGATGATCAACAATTATGAGATGAAAAATCACTCGGATCAATGATCCCTATGTCGTAGTACTTGTAGTAGGTGTTGTAGAAGTTGTTGTTGCAGAAGAAGTTGATCCAGAAGAAGTTGATCCAGAAGAAGTTGATCCAGAAGTTGTTCCAGAAGTTGATGCAGGAGAAGTTGATGCAGAAGAAGTTGATGCAATCGTACTCATTGTCATCCCTGAACTCGACGTAGTCGAGGATGATACACCACCGGTCGAAGTGGATGTACCTGGCGTCGTCATAACTATCGGCGTCGATGTAGAAACGCCATTTTCCGTCGTCTGTGCGGACGTACTGGTGGTCACAAGTAATACTAATTCAGGACATAATTTCAAACATAACGAGTTCCAAATGAAATTCCAACTGTTGAGATCAACGCAATTTATTTGACAATATAAACGCCGTGTCGGTTCGATTATCTTGAAAATATCGATCGTAGATTCGACGTTCTGAAAATGACAAATGAACGAATCAAAATTGAAAAAGAAAAAAAAAATATATATATATATATGTAAAATATATAAAAAATATATAAAATAAAATATACAAAATATATAAAAAAAAAATTAATATTTTTTCCATGGCAAATAGAAGGGGAACGAGAGATTAGAACGACGAAGTTAATTTTAAAAGAAGTTTTACCTGAAAACGAACTGCACCGAGAAGAAGAAGAAAAATGAAGACTGTTCTGTTGAATCGGAACATTGCTTTTGAGAAACGACGAGTGATTTCTCGTTTGGCCGTACAATTATAACACGTACGATGGGCTCGACCAGCTTTATTTATAGGAAAAACTGAAATCGTTAATATTTGCATATGTTTTTTTTTCTTCTTCATTTTTGTTCTTCTTTCTTTTTTCTATGAGATAAGACTAAACGTTTCGTGATATTGTCGTCGGGTAATTATTTTCAGCGATAGCGTATGGCTTTTAGGTTAAAGGTATTTCTTTGACGAAGAAGGACTTACGTGCGACGACGGTATTATTAAGATATCAAAGAACTCGTCGTCATTTCTCTACGTATACGTACGTTTGTTTTGTCGTTGCGTAAATAATTGAAAACAAAACAAAACAAAACAAAATGAAAAAAGGACAAAAAAAGAAAAATAAAAAAGTAAAGAGAAGAAAGAAAAAAGCTTAACCGACGAAGTTGACAAGATGAAAGAACGCAAACGTGTTTTCGACTGAGAAGATTAGAAGGGATTGTCACGACGATAACGAGTCACCTCGTGGATTAACATATGAATGGATCTTCTAATCGGAAGAGATTACTTTTGATTTTGCATTGGCATATGGACAACCTGAATTTATATAGCTCGATTTGTATGCACGTCTATACGAGTTGATTCCAATGGTTTCGTTCATATAAACGTTTAATATTCTCCTATAATAACGACTGATCGATAAATGTTTCATTTAAAAAAAGAAAAAGAGAAATAGAAGAAAGAGAAAAAAAAATATATATATAGAACTTTTTTCTTTCTGTAATATCTATCGATCAAACAATACAGTATATTTTAATTGTGAATATTTACAATTTATGTTGCATTGTATAAAAGAGAGAAAGAGAGAGAGAGAGAGAGAAAAAGAGTGCATTTTATAAAAATCCATTCTACGAAAGTGCATCTCTGGGAAAAAAAATGTAGCCTCCAGGAAAAAGAGATATACGTCGCGTGATCTTTGCTATCTCTTTTGAAAATAACTCCGACGGGTCGATAACAATAAAAACCGACAAAGGGAGCTCTAGAGCATTCCTTTTTTTTTTCTTTCTTTTTCTTTTTATTTTTCCTTTTTTTTTTCTCGTTCATCTCCTTCCAGTCGTTCCCTTTTTCTCTTCTGTCATTATCGATCCTCATTTTACGTTGCATTTTTTCCTTCTTTCGTTTTTTCATCACGAACTTTTTCAACGTTTCATAATAGTCAGACTATTTGCCTTAACGTTAACATTTATAAAAATGTTCTTTAGAAAATTTATTTTCTCGCTTTAGTTTTCCTTTTTAAAAATTACGTATTAATACAAATATACACAGCGAATAGATAATATTGGCAGGATATATATATATGTATATATAGTATGATTAAAATAAAACGAAATTTTACAAGGTTCGGCCAAAAGTTCTACATGATTTTAAAAATCGATTACTCTTTTATACGAACTTCTTATATTATTAATCTTTCCATTTCTTTTTTCGCTTTTTATTATAAAAATGTTCTACGCTTGTAATTTTACAATTTAAAAAGAAAAAAAGTTAGCTGGAAAAGTCTGGAAAAAGTGTAATTGATTTTTAAAATCGCTTAAAAAGTTATGAATTATATAGAAATATTTGGTTCATCCTATATAAATATTTACTAAGGAGAATAAATGAGGTAGAGTAAGTTCGTGCTTACCGTCAATAAGGTAGAAAACTTATTTATCCTTCTTCGATATTGCGCGCTCTATCGAACATGGTAGATAATTCGAGATTTTATTCCGTAATATCCCGTCGATAATGAAGTTCTCTTCGTCGATAAAAGTTTTTCCTAGGTGTCGCTTCGATGCCATCAACGATTCTTTATATATATTTCCAAAAAATTTTAAATACTTTTATGAAATATAATTATCGTCGACGTATATCGATAAAAAATAAAAGTGATAATATTCGACGAGTCGATTATATTTAATCTATATAACAATTCAAATAAAACGTAACGATCTAAGCGACGATATATTTTCAACGTGGTATAAAATTGATATTAATTATAACGTACAAAATTTGCGTCATGACATAAAAGACTAAATTTGATTGGCCGAATTATCATAATATTCACACGTACTTCATTTGGACCAATAACAAGGACTCTTATAACGCGATTTACCGTTTCGGAATCAATATTTCCTAAGAGAATGTATATATGTTCGTGTTTACGTACATTCGACATCAGTAGTCGTCGATGAATACTTACGATGAGGACGAAGGGAAAGACGCGAGACGTACGAACGTTAGATAATCGTTTCGAGTCGTGTTTGGTTAAAGGGGAAAGGACAAAAAGGAATAAAAGATGAAAGGAAGGAAAGAAGGAAGAAAAAGAGAAAAGAAAAGAAAAGGAAAGAGAAGAAAGAGATGAACGGAGAGATAAAGAGAGATAAAGAGATAGAGAGAGAGAGAGAGGTGAAAAAAGAGAAAAAGGAAAAATGAAGAGGAAAAGGATGAGGAGGAGGAGGAGGAGGAGGAGGAGGAAGATGTAAAAGAAGAAGAAGAACAAGAACAAGAGGAAGAAGAAAAAGAAGAAGAAGAAGAAGAAGGAAGAGAGAGAGAGAGAGAGAGAGAGAGACAGAGAGGAAGAGGAAAAAAGAAAAGCGAGAGGGGTAAGTACGGAGGAGTTTTTCTTTGAACAGAATTCTGCCAGTAGTCGGCTCCTTGACGTTTCTCCAAGGGGAGGGGGTGTAGAAGGGGGAGTTTTCAACCTTGCGCGTAAGAGTAGAGACTGATAGTGGCAAGGGGTGCATATCGGAGAGAAGATGAGAATAGAGGGATGGAAGCAATGGGTAGAGAGAGAGAGAGAGAGAAAGAAAGAGAGAGTGGGTGACCACGATGAAGAGCGAGCATCAAGGTGGGAGGAAAGGAGGGAGGGAGGACGGGAAGGATCGAGAGAGAGAGAGAAAGAGAAAGAGAGTTGCCCAAGGGAGTAGTAGTAGTAGTAGTAGTAGGAAGAGGTGGAGAAGGAAGAGAAGGATGAGGTGGAGGAAGCGGAGGATGAGATGGAGGAGGAGGAGGAGGAAGAGGAGGATGGGAAGCGAAGGAGAGCAACGGTGGTTATGGGCCGAAGTACAAAAGAGAAAGGAGAAGGTAGCGGCGGAGAATGGGATGGGACAACGAGAAATGGAGGAAGCAAGAGGTCGATGGGGAAAGAGAGACAAGCAGGGAGTAAAAGAGAGAGAAAGAGTGTGAGAGAGAGAGAGAGAGAGAGAGAGAGAGGGTAGAGAAAGAGAAGGGTTGGGAAAAAGGGGGAGAAAAAAATACGAAGAAAAGGAAACGAGAAGAAGATAGACTGCGGAGAAGAGAAGAGAGAAGGGACGAGCAGACAGTATATGTATATATATATATATGTTTGTATATAGATATGTATGTACATATATATATATATGTACGTACATATATATATATATATATATATATACGTATGTATGTAGGAGGTGTAGAGAGTTCGGAAGCGAGAGAGATGAAGGAAGAAGGGAGAGGGGACAATTCTCCAGCGAGGTATATATAAGCGAGTGAGAAAGCGAGAGAAACTGTAAAAGGGGGATGAGATCTGTGGGTTGGGGGAGGTAAAGCAACCTCGAAACAGAGAGAGAGAGAGAGAGAGAGAGAGAGAGAGAGAGAAACAGCGGTAGGGAGAGAGAAAGAGAGGGAGAGAGAGAGATATAGACGGAGAGAAAGAAGAGAGATGAATAGATAGGGAGAGATAGAGAGAGATAGAGAGAGAGGGAGAAAGAAAGAGAGATGAAAAGAAAGATAGAGAGTGGGAGAGACGTAAGAGAGAATCGGAGAAACAGAGAGGGAACGAACGTCGAGACGTCATAGTGATGAGGTTAGAGTGGGACAAAGGTAAAAGCGGAAAGAGAGGGTAACGAAGAAAGAGGATGGTGATAAGGAGGAGCGGTGGGAGCGAGAAGATACACGGATAGGAGATACGAAAGAGGCAGAGCGAAAGAGTAGGAAGGAGGAGGAGGAGGAGAAGGAGGAGAAGGATGAAAAGGAAATGGGAAAGTGCGAGAGGGAGATGCTTGCTCGCGAAGGAGATAAAAAGAGAATGTAGTGGAGCGCTGAGAGGAGTGGTGGGAAGAGGAATGAAGAGGAGTGGAGAGGAAAGGAGAGAGAAGAGAATGGCTTGGTGAGGAGATTGAGGGAGGTGGGGGTGTAGTAAACGAGAGAGATGAAAATTTCGGGTGGGAAAAGGATCGAAATACGAAGTATATATATATATATATACATATACATAACATATACACGAATATATAAAGTATATATATATTATATATATATAAATATATATATATATATATATATATATATATATATATTAGAGAGTGTGAGAGAAACCGTGAGACGATGATAGCGAAGAGTAGAGTGGGAGTGAGCGAACGAGCGAACAAGTGAGAGAGACAGAGAGAGAAAGAGAGAAAGAGAGACAGATAGATAAATAGAGAAAGAGAAAGAGATAGATAGATAGATAGATAGATAGATAGAGAGAGAGAGAGAGAGAGAGAGAGAGAGAGAGAGAGAGAGAGAGAGAGAGAGAGAGGAAAGCAAGCAGAGTCGACTCGGATATGAGGGTGTCGCGCAAGCCGGTCACGCTGAGGTTTCCATGGCAACGACAGGCGATAAATCAACCCGCAACATCCCCAAGTACCGCCAGATAAAACCGCATACACATATGGCCCTACGTACGTACATACGTACGTACGTACGTATTTACGTATGTAGGTATGTACGTATCTACGTATGTTGGTATGTATCTACATATGTATGTATGTATATTTGTATGTATGTACGTATGTATAACACCTATGTATATATACGCGTTCGTCGACGCCGGCACCGCGTCGCTGGCGACGCCGCCGTGCAAGATACCGACTGCTAACACTCCGCGCCCAAAAACTTTTCCCTTCGGCCGATTTATGCCGTTGGTTGGTTGGTTGGTTGGTTGGTTGGTTGGTTGCTCGCACCGCTAACGAATTTCTTTCTTTCTTTATCTTTTTCTCTCTCTTTCTCTGTCTCTGTCCCTCTCTTTCTA